TATATATATTTTTTTTTTCGTATGTATAATATATATATATATATGTATAAATTATAAAATATCGACTTTTTTTTTTTACGACACTTAAATTACGAAAGTACAAACTTTCCTTTTATTTTCGGGATAACGATGCGTGGTTTTTTATTTTGTTTTATTTTGTTTTGTTTTTTCTGTTTTTTTTTGTTTCATTTTTATGTCTTTTTTTTATTTATATTTGTTTTCTTGTTCGTAGGTACGCGTGCAAATGTATATGTAATAGTAGCTTAACTAGAGTTGTTTGCAGCAGATTTTTGAGATTATAAAAAATGATATATATATACAGGGTGTCCTATAACTAATGTTACAAACGAAACAAGTTAGATGTGTTTCTATATAAGAAAAGTATGTCAAAAATTGGAAATTCAAATTGATTCGTGCAAGGTTTTGTTTTTAAAAATGAAAAAAAAATAATAAATTACAAAATTTGGCAAGTATACACGCATTTACAGTTACAGTACAGAGTTTTGAATATTTTTTGCTTTGTTTTTGAAACTTTTGTTTATAAAAAACCAAGTTTTTAATTTCCAACAATAGCAAATTCAGTAAAAAAAAAATTGTCAAACATAATATTCATCAGAAACAAAATCTTAGTAGAAAAAAAATATTGTAATATATTTGTTTTAAATTATTATTAGTCACTCTTCTTGTTTATACCACCATATTATGACACCCAGTACATATATATATATAATGTATATAAAAAGAATATATATATATATGTTGAACTTATTTTTAGTATTCACACGCACAAATCCCGAGTTTTAATGCAGCTTATCACAACAGCTTTCTTTAGTTAAATAATAATCGTTGAAAAAACACGCATATCAACGATATTATTATTATTAATTAATGCGTATCAAAAATTCCACGTTATCTAAATGAAACTACTATTATATTATCATATATTAGATAATAATAATATTATAATTATTGTTTATTATCATTTTATATATATATTAATCATGTATGTATATATATATACATACACTGATTAAAAGTCGAAGTATAATGATCATTAATCAACGTCTTCTCCTCCATTGGATTATGTGAGAAACATGGGTTGCGTTTCGTTAGAAAAAAATTAGGAACGTGGTGGTTGTTTTTTTTTTTCTTCTCGTTATCCTTATTAACCGTTTACACCGGTTCTTCTTACATATTTTATTATTATTGTTCGTTCATTCGTTCATTCGTTCGTTCGTTCGTTCTTTTAGTTTTTATTTTGTAATTTTCGACGTTATTGACGGCGTTAAAAAGGAAGGAAAGTTTGATGTTGAGATGTTAGTTAGATTCTCGAGTAGAAAATCATTATTGTTCTCTCTTTTTTTTTTTTTCTTTCTTTCTTGAACGAGCACGGAAACGTTACGAAATATTTCTTTCGATATTGTGGAATTCCTTCTTTTTTTTTGTTTTTTTTTCTTTCTTTCGTTCACCGCCAATGACATCGAGAACAATATTATTATAATAATAATAATAATCATAATTAAAATGGCAAAGTGAAAATGGTAATTTTAACGGTAGGCCAGCAGTGTGTCCCTTTGTGTGCACACACGCGTTATTAAATCGTAACACTGAAAAATTGGGGATAGAAAAAATACATATTTATCTTCGTATCAAAAATTACGTATCCTCATATCATTAACGAATAAACAAATTAACCTTTTTTTTTTTTTTTACACGCGAAAAGGTAATCAAACGAGTTGCTTACTTATCGTAATTTACATGCAGTCTCTCCTTTTGCTTACGCGCTAATAATCAGCACGAGTATTTTATTTTTTTTTTGTTTTTTTTTTGCTTTTTTTTTTTAAACGTATCGATACGTAAAAAACTGATTGTCTTGTAAAATACTTCGTCGTGTTGTTTTTATTATTGTTGTTGTTGGTTGTTGTTATTATTATTATTATTATTATTATTCCTTTCCGTTTCTTTCTCTAAAATATGAGAGAACAAAATGACTATAAACGGAGATTATTTTTATGTTTTACACGAGAGTAACATAATAATCGTTTTCATCAAGCCAAATCGATTAACTGTAATTAAATACAATTTACAAATAAACATTAATATAAATTTATATACATTGTTTACATATATATATATATATATATATATTATTTAATAAATAATTCATCATAAAATTATTTTCTTATTATTTCATTTAAATTAGAAATTTAATCGAATACTGTTTTTGATTACCGTAGTATCGGTGATTTACGTACGATAGTACGAAGTACCGTACTACGGTAATCAAAAATTTATAAGAAAAATTTGTTAAAAACAAATCATTAAAACAATTAATCGTTTTGACTTGCGAACGATTTGTGTGTGTGTGTGTGTTCGTTTGTGTATAAAATAAAATATACATATTGTTTTTTTTTTTTTTTTTACATAGGTATATAAAAAGAGATATATATGTATGTATGTATATATATATAGAGAGAGAGAGTGAGAGAGAGACTATATGAGCCTCGAAGCGTAATATGCTACAAATTTTCCTACAATTATTTAGTTACGTAAGGTTTAATTCAACGGCCGAGTGCAAACTTTTCTTATAAAAACTTTCGCTCTCCTATTATTAAACCTTTTACAAACGGAAGATACATGGAAAATGCATACAATATATATTTATATATATATATATTCGGATTTATCATTTTAAATGTTTAATGATAAAACCGATCATCACTTGACGAGATTAATTCTTATTGTGCAAAGTATATATCACATTGTATCAATGTAAACGAAAAAAAAATTGCTAATTTTACTTTGCAAATAATTATTAAACAAAAGGAAGAAGAAAAAGAAACAAATATACATATATATATATGCATATATGTAACAACAGGATAAATTAAATAAGTGACTTGGAGGGGGGGGAGGGGGATTTTAAAAAAAATACGTTTTGTTTACGAATTATTTGAAAATTTTACTTCACTCAAATAATCGCGGCCGATATTTGACGATTTGGCATCTAAAAATAGGTTAGGTAGACTTAAAACGAAATAAATAAACAAACAAATCTCGCGCTATCAATTATTTGTGGGGTGGGGACAAAAAAAAATTCAAAAACTAACCTAAAACTAAGAATATACCTAAACCGCAGCAGTGTCATCGGTATTTCGTAACAAGGCGGCAGCTTTAACAACGTCACCACCGCATTGGCTGAGCATCAATTTGCAATCCTCAAGACCAACAAAATTATTCTCCCTTTTCAACAATCCCTGAAGACGTTCAAGTTTAATCGCAGTTAAAACGTCCCAACCGGTGACATTTAACGCAGCTATACAGGACTCGGGTGTTGATTGATCATGCAATACCTTCAACATTATTCTCACTTCGTCCGATTGTTCCCCGTTACGTGGACCACGAGTTCTACGTGCGTTAGGACCGTCGCAAGCAAATTCTAAAAGATCCTCGCAAGAAACGTGATCGGATTGTCGGGACAGGTCACTAGTACGCGTAACTACCAATTTATCCGATTCATCACGATCGTATGATTTGGTATTGGTCGTTAGATAGTTGTCGTTGTTACAACTTGAATAATCTTTGCGATTGGTATTCTCAGATCCAGATGATTTAACTGTATTTACGTTGTACTCCGTAGTCGTATTGGTAGTGACGGTGGTTGTGGTGGTTGTTGCAGTGGTAGTGATGGTGGTCATGCTGGATTCCTCTGGAAAAGGTAGTTCTGACTGATGAGTACAGTTGAAAGGTTTTTCTTGAAAACTCGATGATATTCCTCCTCCTACTCGTCTAGTATTCATAGCCTGTGACCTTGAGATTAAAGTTATATTTGGAGATTCGTTCTTATTAGAAATACTCGAAGAATCTTCCGATCTGCTCGAACTAGAAGTAATGGAATTTCTATTGGGCAAACCGCTACCACTCTCTGTCTCTTCGTCGAGGGATTTCGAAGCAATACTTTTTTGAGAATTTTTTGACTCGATACTAATCTTTCTTCGAATGCGAACATCGGAATCGTTAGTTTCTTCTGATACAGTTTCAGGACAGGATCCTGTATCCTCGGGGTCGATCAAATTGTCAGAAAACTCGAGTAGGTCTTCCGAAATGACGCTGCAACGATGCATCTTACTTTCGTCCATTGGTAAAGAATCCAAAGCGGCAAGTTCCGATTCGATACGTTGTTCGAATTCTTCCGGACTAGAAAAATGAACAACATAGTTAGTTATGTGTAAACTAGAACTTTGTATTGATCACTTATGAATAATCCCCTTACCTATTTGTCGAAACTTCCGGAGAATAACTCTCTTGCAATGTGGAAGAACTGGTGGTAGGTGTATTCGCGTATTGGAGAAGAAAATTACCGTCGACTTGATCCTCCAAAGCAGGTGGGGTCGTAACAGCCATTTTAGCTAATGTCCTCGTCACTCCACCACCTGGTATGATCAACGGATGTTTCCTTTGATGTCTTGGCAAGCTCGATTTTGGTTGTAACGTTTTCGAACGATCACGGGGTGGTAATGGTATTGGATTTTCATCGACGTTATTTTGATTTTGATTATTTTCAATCTCCAATGCCGAATGATGTCTCTCCAAGCTTCGTGTTTGAGGTAAGGGAGGTGGTAGATGAGGAGGTGGCGGTGCACGAATTTTTGGCAATGTTTTAGCTCCCCCATGATGCATATCCATAAATTGAAACGCATGTTCAGAAGTAGTATCCTCAGAATGGGAAATACTGTGGCCAAGGGTTGCGTGCTTGTTACCACGAACTCTTGGTCTCACTACAGGCAATCCCGAACGCAACATACGAAGAGGATTCGTGTCTTGTGCACTTTCGATCGCTGGTGTTTCGACCAAGCTGTTGTAAACCTCCTTGGCTTCCTCCGACAATGTCGCCTAAACAAGTCGCGGGATGGGGATAGATTCGGGGGAGAGAAGAAAAACGAAAATTAAAAACAAAAATCATAAATGAGGGTAACTATGATAGAAGAAGAAGAAGAAGAAGAAGAATATGATGAACTATAATAAGAAGATAATAATGATGATAAACAATTAAATGATATTTATCTATTATCAACGAATCGTGCTATTTTATTGGACTCCTTTTTTTACGAACGGTTCGTGTGTGCTTGTGGTGTGTGCGTGTAAACGAATAATAAGATAAGATACTTTGTGCAGCATAACGAATGCAACTTGCTGCATTGGATTAAAGATGCGTGCGACACAATGCGCAAAAGACACAAATAAGGATTGGTTTTATCGTGCAATATCGAGTGTGTATGTATGTGTATATGTATTATTAACCATCGTTCTTAGATAATGGTTAGAACACGCGTAATACCTAAGTTTCATAAGGTAAAAATGGTATAAACTCTCATCGATAAAGCCAAAGTTATTACTCGGTTAATATTGTTGGATGATCGAGATAACAAAGAAGAACATGCAAGCATGCTATGTACGCTAGGCATAAATATATGTATATGTTTCATGATTCCTTTTTCCCGAATAATGTTTTATGCATATCTTTTTCATTTGTCCATCGTGCGACTCGATCTTTCGTGCTCGTTCATTGTTTAAGGAGCTGGAGAAGGTGGGAAGGTTAATATGTCGTTGGTAAATTCTGGATACTCCGAACTAGTGTCAGAATCTAGATCGGAATTACTAGTAAAGGTTAAGCTAGAACTTGGTGCACTTTCAGGCCAAGAAAGCAAGTTGTTTCTAGAAGAAAAGGGTGGGGATAAGGAATTGAGGAAACTCGTAGAAGGTGGCGGTGATTTTCCACACAATTCCACTGAGGAAAATCCTCGAGCCGAATCTGGATGAAGAAATTGTCCTTTGTTCTTAAAGTTTAGCCTCAAACTGTGTGGGACTTTTTTGCTACGACGCTTGTAACGCAAACGACTTCTTATATCTGTCTCTGAATGAGAAACCGAATCGGAATCCTCGCTAGAATCGTTTCGAGGATGAAACGATCTGCGGACGTTCTTTATAGGTGGTTTTCGATTCTCAGATAACGACGAAGTTCTGTGTCGATAAACATTTGTATTGCTTGTCAATTTTTCTACTAATAATTCAGACTTTGGTAATTCTTTCCTAGTTGTTTCGTTTTGATACAATTTTGGTGGTTCCAATATATGTTGATGTATACTAGGACTAGTTGGTGGATTAGTTTTCTGCGTTATATTTAATTTAACAGCACTCGATTGTTGTTGTTGTTGTTGCTGTTGTTGACTCTGCAACGGTATATTCAAATCCAAATGCTTTGGTTTCTGAAGTGGAATGTTCAAGTTACGAAAAGGTACTTGAGATTGACTAGGCAAATCCAACTTTCTCATATTTGGTAACATTGATTTATTGGACATCGAATTTTGACTGATATTCTTTCCAAGTTGCATCATATTTTGTGTCAACTTTCCTAATCCTAAACTCAATCCTTGACCCTTCTTCGAGTCCAGATAACTTTTAACGCTCTCCAAACCTGATACTTCTCGTTGATATTTTTCAGCAAGTATTTTGCTACTCAATTCAACTTGACTATTGGCCTCGGCATCAGACTTTCGCCTAAGGCGTTGAAAATTAACCCGCAAACTTTCCGAACTGCTGTATATCGGTGATTCCTTTTTCTCTGATTCGGCGATAAACAAAGGGTTGTTTGATATTACGAACGGGAATGAATCGAAACCATTTTGATTTTGTTCAATTTTACGAAAACTTTGAATATTTATTCTTACAGTTTCCACGTTTCCTCTAGCAGTAGTCGAACTGGTATCTGACGTACCAGTTTGTACATTTGTTTTAATGCTATCGGATGAACCATAAACGATACTTTTAGTTTCTTGACCAGGATGATTCGATCTGGGTACAAAAGTAACTTTGGCAGCTCTTGCTTTTGCTATGTCAATCTTCTTAGTAAATTCTGTTATATTAACTTTGGAAGAATCGCTGAAAGAACTCGACAATTTCGGTCTCGTTCCAACGTCAAGATTACTTATCTTTTCTCTTTGAGATTCAAATTTAACTGGTTTATTGCGAGAAGAATCAAGATTTGCCGTTTTCTCTTTCAATAAGTCGTAATTCGGCGTTTCTTCTCGAGCCACATCGAAATTCGTCGAATTTGTCTTATCTTGCAAGGTTTGTTCACAATTATCAACTTTGTTATTTTGATATAACTGTTGTTGACCGGGTCTGTTACTAGTCATCATGGAACTTTGTTCTTGGATGTTGCTAACGTAAGAAGATCTAACGGAATGTTCCAAATTATTCAATTTATCAAATTTATCAGATTTCTCATCGGTGAAACGCAAAGCTTTGTCGACGGAACAACTCAGAGCACTGTCCTCGTCAAAATATTTCGGTTGTTCGAAATAACGATCAACGTAACTGGTTGATATCCGTTTAGGTTCACGTGGGAAGTCAAGATTAGGATTTTCCATTTTAAAGGATACCGTGCCGTTGTGTTGTTTAAGGTTATGATTAGGATTAATGTCAATTGCATTTTCGCAATTGTAACTACCACTTTTCCTGTTTCCATGTTCAAGGAATTCGCTGGATTTAACGAGATTTTGTTTAGTTGCTGCATTGTCCAATAAATGGGCATCAAATTCAATATCCATGTAAGAGGTCCAGGCACTTGGTTTAGTTAGAAGTTCGCGAGATTTAGCAAAGCAAAACTCTGCTGAGGCTTTGTCCCACAAAGGCAGTTTTAAAGTTGATGGAGCACCAAGAGATTCTATACTAGATACCGTAGAAGATAGTGATTGTAGACTCGAACATAGCCACTTTATATTATTGCATGCATAATATTATGTTAATTTGTTAGATACAACAAGAGATTAGATAGAATCATGCAGAACAAGAACAATGTTACGAGACAAGCATAATTTTCACATGAAAAATCATATTTATGCGAAGATTCGAAAGATGTAATATGGAAAATAAAAAAATTAAAGATTTTGTTAAATCAGCAATGCAATAAATAAATAAATAAATAAATAAATAAATAAATGATTAATTAAATAAATAAATATAAATAAGCGATAAGAAAGAAACAAATGTAAAATGTGACAAATCAAACGATGAGTTAGAAAAGGAAAAGGGGGGATAGGAGAAATGAAAGTAGTATTAGTTTCGTTGAGAAAAAGTTAAATATATATATATATATATATATATGTATATATATGTTAATTAATTATAGTTTAATTAAAAATGTTCCTAACTAAAAGATTAGTAATGCATACCTACTTTTTGAGCAAAAGTGACAGCAGGAATTAACTCTGTTCCATAACAGTTTTTAACAATCGAGAGAATAGTCAAATGTAAAATTGAAAAATAGAATGTTAAAACGTGACAATTGATATTTCTTTTTCAACATTCGTTAATCCGTTGGACTTGTTGGTGGTGGTGATGATGTGAAGAATTTGGTATGTAATAAAACTGTGTAATTTCGTTGAAAACAAAACGAAGGAATAGAATAATAACACAAAGTGATTATAAAATAAATTTCTCTTTTCCTTCGTTTAGAAATAAAATCTTATTGTTTTTTTTTTTTCTTTTTAATGTTGTGTGTAAATTTTTCTCATAAAAGTATAGAGGTAACCAGTAACCAGTAACCAAACAAAAATTGTTTCAATGTACCTGCATGTCAGGTATTCTGGCAGCTTCTTCTGAAAAGTGTCGTCTGTCTGGTTTGGGACTGTGTTGATGTGGCAACTTAAAAGAGAATTTTCTGCGTCTTGAAGGACTGGCGGGTGTTCGGGGAGACTCCGGTGGATGTTCAAGATCTGTCATGGAACGTGCTGTCAATTCCTGTGCCATAGCAATGGCCGAGTAGAGTGTTTTCTGATCGGCTGCTGAGATAGGCTTCACCTAAATATAAGATAAACGTTTACTGATTCCATCAGTCAACTCTACTAACTTGATATCTTTTTGATCTTTAGATTTGAGATCTCAATTCTTTAGAAGACTGCACTAGAACTGTATGATATTGATATTATACAAGTTAATATCCGCGAAAGATATTAATATCAGTTTTTTGACACACACTCGAACAAATGTTATACTCTTTTCCTTCTTTCCTTTCCTTTTTGTTCTTTCATTACGTCAAACCTTTCCTTGACTTCTTCTTCTAGTTAAGTTTATTAAGTTTTATTCCTTAACTAATGTGTTCTCACAATACAGGTAAGATATAAATAATACAAATATGTATAAACCTAAATACAGACATAAATATAAATGTGTGGATAAATATAAATGATAACAAATGTACAAGTAAAAATATTATCAAATTAAAAAGTAATTCTAAATATATATATATGTAAACATTTATACAAACTAATATATGTGTATATATATAGATATATATAAAAATGAGCAGCAAATAATAAATAATCAAATATTAATGATCACTAATGTACAAAGTACAAACAAACGTATGATTGTAAATAATAAAAGATTACTGTACATTTATTGGACTCACGGTCGCTTGTTTCTTCTTGCTGCATTGTTTAGCTTGTATTTCTCGAAGTTCATTTCTTGCGTTACTCGATTCATGTTCGGTAGGCAAAGGATGTCCAGGTGGTGGTGGAGGAGCTGAAGAACCTTTTATGATGATATCACAATATATGTGTTAACAATCATTAAGGGAATAATCAAACATTCAAAATGTCTATTTTAATTACCTAGAGACCTAAACATTTGATCCATCTCAGCTAAAAGACTTGGACCAAAATCAAAGTTAAGCGTTTTGTCAAATCTTAGTGGACTATCTTGATTTTCTTCGTCACTGATCTCATGATATTCGTGATCAGCTCCAAGACTTTCGATATTACCAATCGCATTGGATGATACAACAGCGGGTTGTTTGCTTGCATTGGGAATATTTCCCATTTGGCACATCTCAGAATTAACGTCTGACCATAAATTGTCTGTAAAAAGTATTAAAAAAATAAGAAAGTGGTATTAATATTCTTTACATAAAAAATAAAAACTATTTCATTCTTTTTTTGTTAATAAACAGAAACAGACCCTCTAATAAAATAGAAAAGAAAAGAAAAGAAACATAAAAACTACCATGTTTACTTTGTTGTTCTTGTTGCAAAGCCCTGCTATCCCTCAAAGTTTCTCTGTCTATTTCTAAGCTTCTTACATCTTGATTTAAAATTTGACTAGAATTATCCGTAACATCTTCTTGGGGTTTATATGGGGTTACCACTTGACGTGGTAAATGTGGGTACTTGCCACCGAGAAAACTGATATCACCAAAATATGCGCCATCCAGTCCAACGTGACCAGTATGTTTTAAATCGCCTTGAGGGGAAGATATCATATCCGTACGAATTTTTCTTCGTTGAGATGAAAATGCATTTTTACCATCGCCTCTTGTAAATTCTCCTGGCTTGTTGCTCGGTAAATTCGAACCGAGATAAGCTATTGTGTGTGCAGGATTAAATATTCCTGTTTTACCGTTATTTAAAACACCCTTCCACATTGTATTGCTACTTCCTTTATCCAACACTGTTATTATATCACCTTGTCTATAAACTAATTGTCCAGTTTCCGTACTGTCCTGTACAGCTTGAACTTGTTCCGGTTTTAAATCTGGCAATAAATTAATTAATTCAGAAAACTTTGGCCTCTTGGATGGTTCATGTTGCCAGCATTGTTGCATCAAAGAAAAATAATCTTTTGGACAACATTCTGGTTGTTCGAGTCTTTGAAAGTTAGGTTCATCAATAGCTTCCAATATTTGATGACCAGTCAATGCAGCCCATGGTTGGAAACCATAACTAAACATTTCCCAAAGTGTTACACCATATGCCCATACGTCGCTAGCTGATGTAAACTTCAGGTAGGATATGCATTCAGGAGCACACCAAGCAATTGGTAATTTTAAATTAACATTGAAATTAGTTTGGTAATAATCTTTACCAACACCAAGTGCTCGAGATAATCCAAAATCTGATATCTTGACTTTGTTTTTAGAAAACACGAGAATATTCCTTGCAGCTAAATCTCGATGTATTAATCTCTTAGCTTCCAAGTATTGCATTCCATCAGCTATTTGGACAGCAAAGTCACACAACGACAGAACAGGAAAACTTGCTCGTAAACTTGGTTCCTTTAAACATTCCAATAGAGAACGCAAGGGTGCTAGTTCTGTTACGAGCATCAATGAATTTGTATCCAAAACTACACCGTATAATCTAACTATGTGTTCATGATCGATAGAATGCATAATGGCAGCTTCTTTTAAAAATTCAATAGGATTATTCTGCATTCTTTCTCTCGATAAACACTTTATTGCAACTTGTATCCTTTCACCGTCGTTTGTCCATACACCTTGTTGCACAACTCCAAATTCTCCAGTTCCCAATTCCTTGTTTACTATTATTGCATCAGCAGGAATCATATGTTTGTTAGGAACACGTACAGGAGGCCTATCTTGTCTTTCTTCCGGTAACATACCAAGAGCACTTGGTGTTTGTTCTTCACGCTTTGGTAATAACATCTTCTTAAATTTGGAAAGATAATTTTGTGGAAAGTGTTTTTGAAAATACTTTTTTAAGCGTCTCATTTCAGGTTTACTCATTCCTATAGCATTTAAATCTTCTTCCGTTACATATTTTAATTGTGCTGTCGTTTGAACTTTAAGGTCCCCTAAATGATCAAATAAAAAAAAACAGATTAATATAAAATGTATTTAAATTTAGATGAAAGATTAATCAAATCTGAATAAACTTACCCCGTATACCAGGATAATACTGTTGCAATTCAGCCTCCATAAGAAATTCATAAAGTCCAGGACCGACGTTGCGCGACATTCCTCCTTGTGCATCTATTTATTACAAAAATGCATTCTTAATTAAATAATTCTAAATTATAACAAAAAATTCACAATACTTGACACTATATAACATTGTTTATTAATATATTATGCATACACACACACATATATATAAATACATATTTAAATATATATGTATAGAAGATTAAAAAGAAATAAACCTATGAGAGAGAAGATAGGAGAGTGAAAAGAAAAGTTTGAAAATGTATTGGAGCAAGTGCATGAAATATTTGAAAAAGGAATAGAATCTTCGAATTTCTTCAGAAATTCTATTTTCTTTCTGAACTCATATTTCCACGAAAGACACGCCCCACGGCCTTAAATAGAAAGATTTTATTTATAATCAATGGTGACTTCGTACCGCGTACTCACCCATTCTTCGCTGCAAGGAAGATACACGCTTTGCCAACGGCGTCGAGGGCCGTCCTCCAATTCGGGGAGTTACAAAGCGGCTTCCTCTCCTCCTTCTCCTCTTTTCTTCCTTCTTTCCTCCTTCTTCTTTCCTTCTCTCTTTTGTTTCTTGTCTCGCGCGCGCGACACAACACGACACGATCACGACCACCAACCACCACCACCACCACCACCACCACACCACACACCACCAATCGACCGGTCTTTGCTCTCTTCAGCCTTTCTTATTCGCTTTCTCAACTAACATTTTTATCACTTATTTCACCCCTTCTTTTATTAAATCTTTCTTTCCTTTCATAACCCTTTCAATTCGATATAACCTTTTTGATTTAGATTTTGATTATATTTATTTATTTCTGGTTTTTTTTTTTTAAACGTTTCGTTTTTTAACCACCGAAATCAAACGAACGATAAAAGCTCGTGCGCGAGACGCGTATCCCTTGCAAGTTTCACTTTCTATCTTTCTCTTTCTATCTCTCCTTCCTCTCACCCTTCTATATCTATGTGTTTGTCTCTGCTTGTCTAACTCTTTTATCAAGACGACGAAACGGCTTTCTATACTTCGCACTGAACGCTAATTTATATGACACGTATATACACGATTCGTAACATTAACCAATGCCGTGTTTCTAGTGCAATTACTATCACTGCACCTAACTGTTATTACCGATGAAAAGCATACATTGCGACTGATCGACAGATCCATCATAGCAGCATTGCACATCGGTTGTTTTCGTTCATACTCGGCATCAATCGGCTTACCCACATGTAAGCATAACAAGTCACGATATCCTTCGCGTAAGCTTCCTTTTTTAATTATAATCTCATTGGTTGATATTTCCACGTGCTGTTGCATTGACCAATAGAGATTAACGATCGAAGCGCCAACTTGCGTAAGGCTCTGGTATTTTACTCACGCGGGAGAGTCTATATGTCAGAAAAACAAAGTTGTCTTCCAAACATCCTAGAAAAACACTCTTGGCAATTAATTTGCAGTTTTAATTAGAATCAAATGAAATATTAATTAATGTCGTTTAAATAATAATAGTAACTTTACATATTAAGTATTGTCTTCCAAAGTGCATTATTTTTCTGGTACTTTCTTCCCCATTGTCCTTAACTTTTGTTCACAGGTGCGTTTAATAATTAGTGTATTATTCATACATATTATTTAACATCATTTATTTTTATTGTATTTTAGTATGAATCAAAAAAAGCAAATAGGTAATACAAAGCCATTATATGGATTTAATAGAAAATTGGAACCGGATAGTATTATTGGAGCAACTGATTCCAGTGGTGAATTAATGTTTTTGATGAAATGGTCAGCTAATTTCGTGTTACATGTTTCTTCCTTTTTTTCTTTCTTTTTACTTTTCTATTTTAATATTTATCTCTATATAAAATTTAAGTCAAATATTGTGACAACAAAATGAATGCTATACGTCAAATTTTATATTTGTGTAGGAAAGGAACGGATGAATCAGATTTAGTACCTGCAAAAGAAGCTAACGTTATGTGTCCACAAGTTGTTATTCAATTTTATCAAGAAAGATTAACTTGGCATACTACTTCGACAAACAGAAAATCAAAACCTAACTAAAACACATACACACACTCCAATTTTTATATTACATATTATTAAATAATATATATTAGAAAATAAATCTATTTCCTTATAAATTTCTATAATATATATATATATATATATATAAAAGAAAAGAAAGAACAAAATGTTGAGAAATGAAAGATCAATCAATTATATTTTCTTGTCAGTTTATATCCCAATGTTTTCGCAAAGTGTTATTCGATTAAAATTGAAATCTGTAAAAATTTGTCTAAATCTTGATATCTTATTTTAAACGAATGACATTTTCTCTTTTTTTTTCTATTTGTCTTTCTTTTGTATTCATTTATTTGTTAATATGAAATTTTTAAATATACATATAAGTCATATATCTATATAACAATTATCAGTGTATAAGTTTAATTCATATTTAAAATGATTTTGATTATGTATATATACATAACTTTATTATAAACAGGTGGATCAAAATTCCATGGTAAAATCATAGTATAATAACTTTAATATGTAATCTATTTGATAAGATAGATGCATCTTTTTCTTTTATACTTTGGATACAGTAGGCCTTTAACATTCGCACATAATTGGTTCCTGTGTGGAACCTGGTTCCTGGAAAGTGTGTGCGAATGTTGAATGTTCAAAAGTAGAGAGATGTACAAAAATATGTACCAAAAACTGTATTTTGAAGTATTTATTTATCAATATGTATACAAAATGAAGTTGAAGTGTTTTTAAGTGTTTCCTTTATAAAGTTATCAAGAGTTAATTGAATACCATCCATTTTTTTCTTTTCTTGATAAAAATTCTTACAAATTTATTGTTATATATACTATTAGTATATTAATACTTTGCAGTTGGGGCCGTCACTGACGGCATTTCGAAACTGTCGAACAAAGATTCACGTTTTTAGTCAAAAAAGCTTAAAGTTAAGAAGATCTATCACGCGTCTTTTTTATAGTGATGACATAGTTTGCTTGTTCTTGTTTCTTTTCTTCAGTATTAACCAAATTGTCACCTTTAAGAACATCAACATCATTGGTTATTTTAAATGCAAGTCTTTTTGAATAAATAATTGAAATCTTTTTCTGGATTAATTTTACCTGATTCTGCAGTTTGGCATGTAAAGGTAGCTTCACTTGTCACTGTTGATTCAGAGGATGGATCATTCAGATTGGAATTATTATTTCTCATACAAGGATTAGCATACGTCGATGTAGATGCCATGGTGTGATGTTGCATGTAAGGAATATCTAAATAATCACTTAAATAATAATCATGACGAGACGTATTTTGAGGATATAACTTCTCTTCGATTCTTCTGTTTATAACAACAGCTTCAGCAAGTGGTATTGGTTCTGTATATGTAAATGTTTTCTTATTTTCAGTCTTATCTTTGGATTTTTTAGTAGGACCATAGATAACAGGTACAGCATTACTTAGCTCGCTAGTTGTTCTTATAATTGGTGTGATATTACCCATCGGATCTAACCTAGAGTTTATTTGTTCACGAGAATTAGTAACACCAATTGAAACCTTATCGGGATATTTTGGTATAACATTAGTCATTGATTTTTGTTTCTTTTTTCGTTTTTTCTTATGTTCTAAGTTTTCTTCTTTTTCTGTGCCAAGTTTATTTTTTGTTTTTAGTTCACTTTTATTACTTTCATTTGATACTTTATTCATAACAATTGTTGAAGTTTCCATATGATGATGACTTAAGTGACGTCGTAAATTATCTTTCCTCCTGAAGACAGTACCACAATGTTTGCAGGAATATGGTCTGTCCTCTATAAAAATTACAAGATATATTAATGAGTTTATTATTTTTTATTTGTCGATGAATTTTTATAAAAAATATACCTGTATGTGTTATAATATGACGTCTTAATTCGAACTTGGTTACGAAAACTTTATTGCATTTATCACAAGTGAAAGGTTTATCTTTCTGATGAGTTTTCTTGTGACGTGTCAGTAAACCATTAATTTTGAAACTCTTACTGCATTGGTCACACTGATATGGTCGTATATCTGAAAATAATGTTACAATTTAATGATAAATAATATACTTCACACTCATAAACATCAGACTCACCCGAATGTGTTTTCATATGAAGTGTCAAACTTGCCGAACACTTGAAAGTTTTATTACAAACTGTGCAAGTAGATAAATCAGAATCGGTATGAGTTTTCAAATGGTTTTTCAAATCTTGATGTTTACGATACTTCTTCTCACAAATGTGACATTCAAATGGTTTTTTATCTATAATATTTTTATTAGATTAAAATGAATAAAAAAAAAAGTAAATGCAGTATATCAAAGTATAGTACTTACCGGTATGTGATATCATATGTCTCTTCAATTTGTTTTGTTGTGGAAATGCCTTATCGCATATATCACATTTATATGGTTTATATCCAGTGTGAGTTCTTTCATGATATTCAAAATGAGAATGTTTCACGAAAGTTCTATCGCAAATATTACATTTATAAGGCTTAATTCCAGTTACACATGCATCGTGATAACTTTTGTTTTTTTTATTTAGAAATATTTTATGACAAATATTACATTTATACTTTTCGGGATTTCCAGGTATTACTAATATATGACTTTCGTCAGAAAATCTTTTTCTACGATTACCCTTCTCCTTCGATGATTCTTTATTAACCAAATTAACCATTGTATCTGATATCTAAATTGCATTGAAATATTAACTTTTCTTATAAGAGTTTAAATAACATCAATGCAATTTTACTTACTATCTCTTTAACATGTACTCTTTCATCATCAGATATTAAAGAGTCATCCGAATCTGAGCACTCATAATCTAAACGTATTTGCGTACCTAGTTCTCTAAAAGTTTCTATTTTAGTAATGAAAGGTTTAGAACGCTTAGTAATGGAATTTTCCTCACTGTCTATATTTACATTTGTCAATTTATATAAATCTTGTTCACTGTCAATATCGTTTTTGATGGAAGCTTTAGAAGGCTTAGTAATGGAGTTTTCCTCACTGTCTAACACTACAGTCATCAATTTATAAAAATCTTGTTCACTGTCAAAATTGTCTTTGATGGAAGCTTTAGAAGGCTTAGTAATGG